TATTTTTCATTAATACTATCACGTCGATTTTTATGTAAATTCGACGTGACACTTAATTTGCATGAAATATTTTAGACTACTACTATATAGTTTCTAACTTTTCATTTGCCTATCAACACTCAAATGTCATTTCGTCACTCTTATTTCGCAAAAACCCTAGGCGATTTTCATCAAAACTCTTCCAACAAATTTTCATCAAACCTCATTTTCACAATAAGTTTGTTCATTTTTGCAACAGGCTTGTTCATCAAACGTTTTTATTTCACTTTGTCTCTTGAACATTTCCTTTAGGGTTTCTACTTAAGTTTGTCTCTTGATCATTTTGTTTAGGGTTACTGAAATGCTACTGCTTGATTCGGGTTAGTCTCTTGATAGTCATGGTCAATTCAACAAGTACCTCCCATACGAAATCTGTTGCAACCTCTGTTAATACAAAATGTACAAGAAAAACTAGAGGTGCCACAATATATACAAAGGTGAAAAAGCCCACGAAGCTGGTGTACGCACCAGGTTAGAGTTGGTGTAGAAACCTGTAGGGTTTATGGTGAACATGTTGATGACATTTTGGGTTACATTGTGTTACAAGGTAGAAGTAGAGTGAGTATTTTGATAGATAAATGGAATGATATTGATGATTTGAAAGACGACATGTGGACCTATATCACGGTATTTATTTTGAATTTTATGCATTAAGTAAAGTGGGTTTTTTTGTTTAGTGCTAATAATATCTCTATTGTGTAAGCATAAGAAGTGTTCAATGTTAGTTCAAATGATAAGTATTGTGAAAAAGAAAACACTTGCATATTGTGGTGAGCGTTGGAGGGGCCTTAAGACACAGTCTACCCATGATTATATTAAACATGGAGAAGATAAAGAAAAGACTCCTTACGTGGTGTATTCTTTTATTGAAACAAATGTTTGGGAGAAGTTTTTAGAGTCTCGCACCACTCCTGCGTTCTTGGAAAAGAGCTAAAAAGGAAAGGAAAATTGAGCTATAAATATTTATCCATATAGGTTGTCTCGTGGAGGATATCAAAGATTTGAAAAAAATTTGATTGAAAAAAAAAGAGGAAAAGTTGGGAGGTTCTATAAGTCTTGATCGCACTCCATCTCCACCATCACACCACGAGAAATGTAAGAGGGCATGTCAAAGAAAAGATGGTGAGTTCACATCAGATATCATGCGTGGAATGGCTAAAAGGATTGTAAGTATATACTTTTTTCAACAATATTTATTTTAATTAAATCAATTTGGTAAAGATGAAATTCCATATGTGTTTGTAGGATGATCTGGTTGAACAAACCAAAGTCGTCCTCTTCACTTCACAAGATCCTCATGATATCTTGGTAGAAGCAATTGAAACCGAGGAACATCCTAGGCGTATCCGTGGTCTTGGTAAAGGCGTTGACTTCAAGGTACATTTTGGAAGCTCTAAATCATCTAGAGAGAAAATCAGTAAGAGAGAGGTTCAAGAAATTATTGTTGTTGAGTTGGGGAAGGAAATGGAGAAGTGGAAGGAGGAGCAGGATATGATCTTGGAGGAGGATAAGGAGAGTTGGATGCATACGATGCAAGAGAAATTATTGGAGGAGTAGGGGAGGTTATTGTAGAAAGTGTGAGAGAAGTTCTTGGAGGAGGAGAGAGAGAGGTTGTTGCAGACGGTGCGAGAGAGTGTCCATAAGGAGCAAGAGGAGTAGGAGAGGATGAATGAGGAGAAGGTGTCCGAGAAGTGTATCCATGATATGCTTGAGGTATAAGTTGTATGTTGTTGTTATTATTGGTTGCATATTTTAATTTTGGATTGTATTTATGTTGTTATTATGATACAGAAATTGAGTTCGCTGGGTCTATTCAGCCACACAAATTTAAACCAGTTGGAAATTCAAGAGAAAGTTTTTGTAGGTACAAGCACAACACGTAGTTTTTCTGCCAACCAGGAAGTATTGAACCCTCACCACCAAAATAAGATGGTCTTAAGCGACTAGAGATGATAATGAAGAGTACTCCAGACTCAATCTTGGGTATTACATTAAGTCATGATTCAAGGCAGTTGTTCTTACTTGATAAGCTTCTTATATATGAATTTTTGAAGGGAGATGAGGACCTAGACAATTCCATATTACAACTTTGGAGCTTGCAAGTATAGTTTTATGTTGATTTCTATTTGTATTTATACTTCTTGTACTTTAACATAAAGATTTGACCTTGCAGGTACATCCACGGGGTTTGTGCTAAAAGGAAGTTTCTAAACAAGTATTGTATCTTAGATGCTTTGATGATTGCTCTTACTCGCAATTCGTTAGGGCACAATATCAAAGAGTACATGCAAGACATGTTGAATAAGGATAAAGGAAACATCAAAGATTATTATTTGGCTCTATTTTATCACGAGTAAGTATATATTAATTTGTGTTTTCATTTATACATCAATTTTATCCATATTATTAATTATTCTGAATTGTTATGCAAGTCGACATTGGAAACTACTAAGTATATGTCCCAAAAGAAATACTATAGTTGTGTTTTGCTCGTTGTACTCTAGGCTGTCCGAAGTTGTGACTAAAGCTTTGAATGGGTAAGTGGTGTTAATTTTAGTACTCAAATTTTAACTTTAGAATTGAATAGTTTTTATTCAGGTTTAATTTTAACTGACGTGCATGCGTAGAGAGATTGGGAATATAATACGATCACACGAAATTTACTTGGTAAACAAGCCAACATATGTTTACCCAAAAGTAAGTATAAATTACTTGTGCTTTTTTGACATTATATTATTTGTGTGTACTAGTGTAACATAAATATATAAAAATTATTTGTAGTGGTGAAAACAATCCGACAACTATTCTTGTGGATTCTATGTTATGAGATATATGCTCCATATTGTCTCCGGAGGTATTACACAAGTATAGATGAAGAATAAGGTATATATATATATATATATATATATATATATATATATATATATATATATATATATATATATATATATATATATATATATATATATATATATATTGTTGTTGTTTTATCTTATCATAATTTAAATTTTGTTCTAATTATAGGAGTTTAGCAATCAAACACCATACTCAAAAGAATATATGGATAACATCCGATCACGTGGACCAATGTCTTCTTATCTTATTATGAATCTCGACGACAACAATAAATTTTTTGGTTTGTTGCAATCTTAATTTGTATATGAACAGGGGTTTTGTCATTTTGATGTGCAAATATGTAAATGTCAGATGTGTGTATTCTGTCTTGACGATAATAATGTAAATTTGTATATTTGATTTAAAATGATATGATATATTCCAATTTTGTTGCCTATTTTGTAGCTTCTGTGTAAAAATTGATACAAATTAATAGATTTATAACGATATGATACATGCCAGTGAAAATGCTACATACCATTGCAAATGATACATGCAAAAAAATTATATATGCCAGTGAAAATGATACAGGCCAGTGAAAATGATACAGACAAAAAAATAATTTAACACCTCGGTTATTAAATAAAATCGAGGTATATGAATACCTTATTACCTCAAATTTTAAATAAAATCGAGAGTTACATGACGCACACAACAAAATTTAGAAAATAAAAATATGCAGTTGCTGGGGATCAAACCTATGATCTTTTAAATTATAACCTCAGTTTTAAAAACACCGAGGTGTTAAGTGCTAGCTTTTCATGTCACCCTTCATTACCTCGCCTGGGTAGCTAAGGTTAAACATATTTTACGACCGACATGAGATGCGTTATTTATAGTAGTGTTTACTACATGTGGCCTAATGCTTGTGTTGTGATTGTGTCTTTGTAGAAAAAACAACCTAAAAAAAGGTAGCAAGGAAGTTAGAGTTGAGGAGAAGTGATAAAGCTAGGGTGCTAAAATGCAAAAAGCTCAAGGGAGAAGGAAGTGACCCAGCACAACCGATGAAATTGTATACATTAGTATTTTGGATTATGTATTTCTTTTATGTTGAACAAAATGGAGACATCATGTGTCTCTCTTATGTATTTCTGTTATGGTTTATACCTTTGTGTTTTAGAGTATGTATTTTGAATACATTAGTGTTTTGGCTTATGCCTTAGTGTTTTGGCCTAAATCTTTGTGTTTTGGAATATGTATTTTGGATACCTTTCTGTTACGACTTATGCCTTAGTGTTTTGGCCTAGTAATATTGTGCATTTATGACGTAGTTGTGTAATTCCTTTTTACCTCTTATATTATTTTAGTCCATTCATAATCAGAGATAACAATAAAATCACAAGCATATATGGTTCAAAATCAAAACATCATTTTCATTCATTAAATAGTACATAAACGATATTCATAACAACTTAATGTTACAAGGACTAAAATAAAATAAAAATAATACAGACACAATCAAAAGGGATTCACCACCATTTCTGGTAAGCAAAGGAAAAACTCATGACACAATCAACAAGAACTTGGACATATTTCCTTTTCTCTTTTCCTTCTCCAACTTCATCTTCATATCCACTTTTTCCCCAGCCTCAAGCTCATTAACAATACAACTTAAATCCTTCAACACTTCCGAGCAATTGCATCCATTTGAAGTTCTGAGTTCACTTGGTATGTTTCGTTCAAACTCATCATCCTATATGAACAACTTGCAACCTGACATTAACCCTGAATTTTGACATTTCCAATATTTCCGTTTAGGGTTTTCAAATGAGTTTGACATGAACATTTCCATTGATCTATTACAACCACATAAAATAATATACGAAAATGATATTTTCAAAAACTCCCTAACTTAAAAGAAAATTAGAAGATTATTTAAACCTATAAAATAGTATAAGCAAATGATATTTTCAAATAGAAAATATAAATAAATATTTGTACTATCAACTAAGTAGTATGTAGTATTACAATTGTCCTAGGTACTCTCACGCTCTCTTTATAAAATAAAACAAAAGAAACAGAACAATGAACAGTTTTGATATCCTCACTCTCAAAGAGTCAAAGAGATGAAGTTGCTATCGCCTTCCGCTACTAGTTCCCTCTCATCTTCCAGTTTTCTGCCCTATCACTCCAATGGTTTGTTTCATCCCTCTCTCTCTCTCTCTCAATCTCTTTCTATTATTCTCAATACCCTTTTCTCTGATTCTTGTTTGTTTTGCAGGCTTCCATAATCTGGCCTCTTCTTCAGCTACCTTCAAATTCTCCAAGAATAAGGTTTTTTACTTCTCCAACTCTAATTTGTTTCATTGGATGGAAATACATGTCCACTTTACAACTTTACCTATTCAATATTGCAGGGAAGATGCATAAGGAAACCCTGTAGCACTAATATCACTGCAATGTTTGAGCTCAAGCCTCCACCATATCCTTTGGTAACATCTTAATCTGTCTCGTGATTTTGACATGTTTGGTTGCTCTCGAGTAAAATTGATTTTATTTGAAGCTTCGATTTGTAGCTTGAGTCTAAATGTGATTCTTACACTGAAATTTACTGTTCAACTCACTCGTGCGTGTCGTGCGCATGCTGTTATTTTGATGTTTGACTGGTAATTCATAAGTAACGAATATTTCTGCAATGAAAATTCTCAGGATGCTTTGGAGCCAATTATGAGCCAGGATACATTTGAGTACCATTGGGGAAAGCACCACAGAGCTTATGTAGATAACTTGAACAAGCAAATTGATGGAACGGATCTAGATGGAAAGTCACTAGAGGAAACCATTGTTATAGCGTACAATAAGGGCGACATTCTTCCCGCTTTCAACAATGCAGCACAGGTATGCAAGTATACCTATAAACATAAAGTCTAATTCATGTTTTCGAACCACGGGTTAGTAGTAATCTTGATTGATTTATTTCAGGTATGGAACCATGATTTCTTTTGGGAGTCCATGAAACCTGGTGGCGGTGGAAAGCCATCCGGGGAACTTCTAAAACTGATTGAAAGAGACTTTGGTTCATTTGAAAATTTTGTTGAGCAGTTCAAGCTTGCTGCTTCAACACAATTTGGTTCAGGATGGACATGGCTTGCATGTGAGTAAACTACCTTCCCACCATATACTCATTTCTAGGATTCATTTTTTCTTCTTCTTGTATCTAACTTAACAACCGGCCTTGTCCTTTTTTCTTCTTTTTGTTGTCTATTAAATACAGATAAAGAAAATAGACTCGATGTTGGAAATGCAGTAAATCCTCTTGCAACGGAGGAGGACAAGAAACTCGTTGTGCTGAAGAGTCCCAATGCTGTGAACCCCCTTGTTTGGAACCATCATCATGTAAGTAGTAAGAACTAGTTATATTGTTATACCATTCATCATCGTTATTATTTTTAAAATATTTTGAAACACATTTGTTTTTACTTAAAAATGTCATAATTTTATTGGTAATGCATCTTATGATTCAAATAGGATTTGATTCACGATTCTGAAAATAGGTCTTCTGATTCATGATTTGAATCTCTATATGATAACCATAGAAGTATCTGATGAGATTTCATTTTGATTTCTTGCAGCCACTCCTTACCATTGATGTATGGGAGGTATGTTAATCAAACTTTTCTGTTAGTGATTCTGACTTAAAAAATATTATTTCATCAATACCAAATTACTAACTTGTGATATGTGCATTTCACTTTTATACAGCATGCTTACTACCTTGACTATCAGGTGATATGTAGTTCACAGCATTGTACAGTGATCACTATATTTGAGACTTCTGTTTAATTAACAATCCATAAATATAACTAAGACTATGCTGTTATTTTGCAGAACCGGCGCCCTGATTATATATCAGTGTTCATGGATAAGCTTGTGTCTTGGGAAGCAGTCAGCTCAAGACTAGAGAAAGCCAAGGCGGAGAAGAAAACAAGAGAGGAAGAGAAATCAACAAGCGGCGAAGCTACGCCTGCTCCTGAGATATTTGCGGATAGTGATACTGACTAGAATACAGAATATGAGTTTTTTTTGGTTCTAAAGTAGAGTTCAACATGGCTATTATTTTGTACCAGTTAGGAAAACTAATTTTAATGTTACTTATATCAATAAGGACAATTTATAATTGATATATGTAAGACAGTAACATCTTTTTCAATATTCTTCCGTCAGATAAAATTGCATTACAAAGGCTCCTTTTTCTTACACTGCCTTAGTAAGATCAGTATGAACAAAACTATTTTTTACACAAAAGGATATTACCCTAAGAGAACAAAAGGTTATCTAAAACCAAAGTCACTTGTAAGAGAATAAAATATGTTTCTATCATCTTATTGGTGATATCTTCATTGACAAAAGGTTATCTAAAACCGAAGTTTCTCTTGAATCAGTAACTGGTGGTCCAAAAACATCCCAAAACCGAAGAGTTTCGTCTCCCCCAGCTGAAACCACTGTTAATCCGTCTGGACTCTGCAAGAAGAAATAACAGCTAATGTAAGTAATCACCTTGACAATATTGAAATGGTTTCATTCATGTTTTATCTAAGTTGAAGTTGTAAACATATATAATGTCACTTGTTGAAAACAATCCCGAGCACTTTATACTAGTTAAGTCATTGATGACTTGTAGCATACCTGAGATAGATGAAGGACTCTCGAAGCATGAGGATCCAAGCCTCCAACTTTAGTCATAGAAGGATACTGCCACAAACACAATTGGTTGTGTTCTGCACTTGTACTAAAGCCATGGCCACTTAATATCTCTTTGTGATGTCTATTCCATTGTAATCCACAAACCTGAGCTTTGGTATCTATGCTGCAAATGTTGGTCCCCTTTTGTACATTCCACAGCTTAATACATCTATCGTCTGTGCCGCCTCCAGAAGCAAGCACAGCTGGATCATAAGGGCACCAAGCAAGAGCTTTCACCGCAGCACTATGGTCTTTAAAACAATGCAAGAAGTTTGATGAGTTCATTTTATTTAACTCCCATACATAGATGTGATTTTCATTACCACCACTTGCCAATAAATTGCCCCTTTTCGACCATTTTAAACCGCAAACTTCTGCTCTGTGTGCTTTTACCCGGGAAATCTCATTTCTTCTTGCTCGAACTGCATACAAGAACTTCAAGATGTTATGCTACAGCATTTTAACAAAAGCATTCTGTATTCATACGTAATACATCTAAAAAATTTAAAGATAAGAAGAACTAAATCTAATTACCATCATGGTTGATAATAGTTTTGTCATGACTTCCCGAAGTTAAAATATGGTTATTCCATGCTAGAGTTGCTATCCTTTCACTATGACCTTCTAGACTCCTTATTGGCTTGGAAGTCTCAGCATCCCAGACTTGAAGTTGAGAGTGCACAAATCCTGTGGCAACATATTTTCCATCCTCTGACCAGGAAACACTTGTTGGATAGTTATTGCCAGTGGCTTTAAACAACAAAGATACATCAGTAGTAACTGAGTTCCAAAAGTACAATTCTGTTCCCAAAGCAACAGCTAGAATGTTGTTTTTCCCCCAATCCATAGTGTTTGTGTAGTAATCATTTTTTATTTTTGGTGCATCCAATACCCTTGATTCCTTCTGCAAGCACATTTATTCAATTTATCGAATCAGAGTACACAATACTACGGAAATACAAGCCAAACTAATTTTTCCTTCTGTTTATAGTTAGCTAGTTATTCCAATTTTGAAGCACTTGCTCATTGATCCCTTCTAAGGGACTGTGAATATTTAGATATATTATGATTTACTTATAATAATATGCTAATATCTAAGGTCCAGATAAACATGTGCAATCTCAAAATAAAATAAAATCACACAGCATCAATTTCAGCCTTTTTCCTCAAAGAAATCCAAATTCCAGTAATAATGGAAAACAAAAATTTAATTAGTAGCAGACATCACACGCACATAAACAGCATTCCAGATTAATAAAAGTCAGTGAATTGGTCTTTGCATGAAACCATTCTGAAGTCATATCTCACCATCGATTAGTTTCTACCAAAAAAATTAACTGTTTATTTGCTCCTCACCTAAGGATTCTAATAACATAAACTCTTAAAAGCACTTATCTCAGGTTAATTCCACTCCTATCCAAACAAGATTGTTATTCAAGTAAAAAATTAACTTAAAGATTTTGCAAAGGAGGTATTAATTTGATTGTGTGAATTAATTCTTCGGTCATAAAAAGAGAAACACAACATTCAGCTCCACATTTGCAAAAAACTTAGAAAACGTCATACCAACAACACAACAAATATTAGACATTTAATTGAAGCATTCATTCTGTTATTGTTATACCTATGACCATTAGAAATGGTTTAAGAATGTGTAACGATTTGATCAACAAGGGCACACCCTAATGATAAGTAGAGGTGTATTTAGGTTCGACATATATGAATTCTATCAACCTAAAGTCATTTAAAAATAGATTAAATTGTTACTATATTGAAAATAAAACTGCATAAAAGTACATTGATATGAACAAACCTTAGGCAGCCTTCGGCAGATACGTTGATTGCCATTGTTTTGAAGCGCTTCAGCGTCTTGTTCTCGCATCTGATCAATATGACGAATAGATTTTTGACTTGATTTTGGACTTCCTCTAAAAACTAACATCCGAAACGGTTTTCCTTCGGAATCAAGATTCAGTTTATCCTCCAGTTTCTGTCTGTACGCTTCCTGTCATATAATAATATATTCAAACCACATATAACGCACATATTCAATCCAGAATCTTGAATAAAGACAAGATGATTTCAACAATTGAAAAGTTGCGAAATTTAGAAAGAAGCATACATTGAAATTAGGATTTTGAGTTTTTTTTGTGGTGTTGGTGAGCAAACTGTTGGCTTGATGAAGGTTCATCAAACTTCGGTTGGGTATAAAGCGATCACCCTGTAGAAAAGCAAAGAAAGACAAATGAGAATCAAATCAATGCATGTGAGAAAAAGAAGACGAATATGATGATAATGTAAATCAGTTGAAGTAGTAGTAATACTGGAAAATCATAAATGGTGGGAGTGCTGAGAAGGCTTTTTGGAGAGTACCAATCGCAATCAAGATTCCACATTGTGCGTGTGTGTGCGTTCAAGAATTGTTGAAAGAAAGAGACTAGTTTGAAGCGTTGCTATCAACTCTATTATATATTTAGCCACAAAATCAAATCATCAATGTATATTATGAACCGTTGCTATGAAATCTATTATAGATTTTGTCACAAAATCAAATCTTTAATGGATATTTTGAACCGTTGCAATCAAATCTACTATAGATTTAGTCACAAAATCGAATAATCAATGGAGATTTTGACGGTAAATGGAAACCCTAATTTGGAGATAGGTTACCTGTTCATTCCGAATGAGAGAGTAGTTGCAGAAGAAGAGTGATGAAGAAAGAAGGAATTGGGAACGTTGTCGGTTCGTTCACCCGCCAAATAAGAGCCAAGATTGAAGGGAGTTGTTTGTTTTTCCAACGGTTGCTATTTTTCACTAGATTTGTCTCACCAAAATTATATCTTTGTTACTAGTAAATATTCACTCTTAGCTAAAATTACTATATTTACCCCGTACGATGCACAAGATAAATTATAAATATATATTGTAGATAAGAATTTTTTTTTAATGTTTTTTGTTGATCGAATAATTAAAGTATATTGAAATTAGTGGTGAAAAAATAAAATAAAGTAATTGGTCTGGACCGGGTCCGCACTTGTCCCATTAACGGGAAGACTCAATCCAACACCCTTGCATAAGGCTCAAAGACAAGCAGCCTAGGTTATCATTAGGCAACTCCCCACATGTCTGTTGGGGAACGTGGCCCACGTGTCTGTATCATTGTCATCATAACTGCCCTCCAGGAATCACGGGTCCAACATCTATTCTCTCGTGGCAGTTGACTAGGGGAGAGTTCACGTGCTGGACTTCATACACATGTAAGCCCTGACAGTCTTCATTGTTGGGCCTCATCGTGGCCCAACATTGGAGACCTTGGCCCAGCGCTGGGGACTATAAATATCCTTTCTCTTGAGAGGATCGGGTATTCATTCTTTCATACTCATACTCTCATACTTGCTAGCACTCTCCCTGAATCTTACTTTAGCATCAGAGTGTCTTGCATGTATCCTTCCCAACTCATTCCCAGTTGCTGCTCAACTCACAACTCGAAGGCCTTGACGATCCATTCAGATCAGAAATGATCAGCGGCACCGTCTATGGGAAACAAACTTCCTCGTCTTTCATTAATCCAAGACTAAAGCAATTCTTCAAACTCTTGATTGTCATGGCCGACCCAACTGCTAACAACAGCCTAGACGCCCATCTCGCCGACCCCAACAATAACATCATCGACAACATGGGCAACAAAAACAACAACAGGAACGACATCGACATGGCCGGTCTCGTGCAAAATTATAGAGACGGCATGACCGCCTCTTCATCATCACGCTCTCGACCACACAAGGGCACCCATCCGCCCCAGAACTACGAGCTGAACGTTTTCCAAGAGGTCCCCGTCCTTCCGGGCGCTGATGTCACGACCAGGACTCTGTTCGCGGCCATTAACCAGACGAATTACTTGATCTTCTCGCAAGGTGAGCGACTAAGGGTGCTCGAGGACTCCCGTCGAGTCCCCAGAAGAAATAGAAGACACGACACTCCACCTCCTCGCCAAAACGAAGACCTTCTTCAATCTCCCCCGGGGGACACAGACAGGACAGGTCACAAAGCCTCTCTCCTCGACAGATTGGCTGACGCCCCGCGCTAGAGAGAATCATGCCCGAGGCTACCGGGAGACGCGACCTCACCCCCTCCCCCCCCCCCCCTACGCAGGGATTAATGATCCCCTGAAAACAGAAACAAGGGCAACGTAGAAGCACATCCTCGACCAAGGGATCCTCCCCGAGGCCAAGGACATCACTACGACTGCCACTACAATCGGTCTCCTTCCCACTCCCCCTACAGGAGCGACGAAGACGATCCCCGCGGTCCTTTATCAC